ATTCTGGCCTAAATAATTTTTAAAAAGCCACAAAACATTGATATTTTAGCATTGTAAATTACAAAACTCTTAAACTAAAAAAACTTATGTTGGCTTCCCCAATTTCATTTCTACTATTTAACTATATTTCTACTAATTAACTAATATATATATATATATATATATATATATATATACATTCAAGAATGCATTGTTACGACTCTTGAATTGGCAATTTATGTACTTGTTAAATTTTAATTTCCCTTTGGAATAAATTATATTTTATTTGAGTTCAGAAGATGTGCCCTTTAAGTGTTCATGATGAAATTTAAAGGCTTAAAGAAAATGCCTCACTATCTATGTGTCAATACTTGAAATATAAGTTGTGAATTTAAATAAATGCATATGTAAGCTTTCCATATATAAATCTCAACTTTTATGGGTGGATTGAGTCAATATTTTACATAAAAACTGAGGATTAGTTTACTTACCTTGTTGGAAAATCAAAATCAGAGGGTTGGAAAAATTCCAAAGATTACTTTTTCAAAACGATTTCTTTCAGACTGCTAGCTAACTTTTCACGATCGGTTGAAATTACACTTGCTACTCCACAAAAACAAGGGAAGGTGGGGGAGGGGGAATCAGTACAGTGTAGGTGGAGCCAAGCTTACGTAGCCACAACTACGTAAAAGTTGCCGAAACATTTTATGTATTTTTAAAAGTACTTGAAACCCATGCACATACATTTTGTGTCATAAATTGTATTAAATGAAACTCGTTGGGTTTAAAATATATTTACTAAATATTAAGTAGGCTACATTACCTGGATGAACTTTGTTCAACCAATGAAGCTGCCGTGCACTTCCGGTTTTACTAGGCCAAAAAATTTATTTGCTCAAACAGCTAGCATGTTAGCTATAGATTTTCACAAAATCCTTTTTAAAATGCATAATCAGAAGACGTCAACAATGCCAATATAATTGTTGATGTTCAGATCACCTCCAAAACCAAAGCACAGTTGAACAGTCATACAGCTTATACACATTACATATGTCCTCTATTGACAGGATTCAATTATTGGAGAGAGCTATATTGGTGAAAAAAATTACTATGTAAATACATTTATTAAAATGAGACATTTTGTTCTTTTTCTAAAGCTTTATTGAAGTTCAAAACAAAGAAAGGTACATTGTACAACAGCTGAAAATCTGCAGAACTTAACTGACACAATGACATAAGAAATTTATGACAGCATGCTTTGTGGTTATGTCCAACGCAGGCCACAGTCATCTATTGAGGTGTAGTCAGTTGTAATCTGAAAGAAAATATCTCCTAAGGGACAGCCGCAAAACCTAGCACTACCGGGTGACTATTTTGGTTTGTTTTGGTGCGTAATGGGGGGATGGTGACGTAATCGGCCAAAATTATAACTTTTAATATCTCAACAACGAAAGCTGCACAAACGAAAATTTTAACGGCACAAACCTGCACTAACCAAGCACTAAAAACGTAGCCCACTTTGGTTTGTTTTGGAGCTGTATGGGGGGGGGGTGGTGACGTCATCGGCCAAAATTATAACTTTTAATATCTCAACAACGAAAGCTGCACAAACGACAATTTTAACGGCACAAACCTGCACTAACCGAGCACTAACGAACCAGCCCACTTTGGTTTGTTTTGGAGCGATATGGGGGGATGGTGAACTCTGATGACCTAAAAAAATAACTTTTAATATCTCAACAATGAAAGCTGCACAAACGACAATTTTAACGGCACAAACCTGCACTAACCGAGCACTAAAAAAGTAGCCCACTTTGGTTTGTTTTGGTGCGTAATGGGGGGATGGTTACGTAATCGGCCAAAATTATAAATTTTAATATCTCAACAACGAAAGCTGCACAAACGAAAAGTTTAACGGCACAAACCTGCACTAACCGAGCACTAAAAAAGTAGCCCACTTTGGTTTGTTTTGGAGCTATATGGGGGGATGGTTACGTAATCGGCCAAAATTATAAATTTTAATATCTCAACAATGAAAGCTGCACAAACGACAATTTTAACGGCACAAACCTGCACTAACCGAGCACTAACGAACCAGCCCACTTTGGTTTGTTTTGGAGCTATATGGGGGGATGGTGAACTCTGATGACCTAAAAAAACAATTTTTAATATCTCGGAAACCAAAGCTGCACAAACGAAAATTTTAACGGCACAAAACCTGCACTAACGGAGCACTAACCAATCAGACTATCTGCTGGATTTTATGACGTAGGTGGGGTGTCAGCTTCACGTAGGTGCCTCTTTGGCCTCTCTGGCTGTAATGCGCGCTCCCGACGCAGTGGGAACAGATTTTCACAGGGGAACCGAATTTCGCACAAGACCGGTTCTGCTGCGGTTCTGTTGGGTCTCAGTCTGTTTGGACCGTCTGAACAAACTGTAAGTTTGTTTTGTTTCCTGCTTGTTTCTCTGATGTACGCGCTTTACGGAAACGTCCCCTCCATTACTCGACACGTTTCGAAGCCTCGGCACTCACGTAACATCAGCAGTGATAAAACAGGAAACCCCCCCACCTTCACTTCCGGAGGTATGAGACTAACGGTTCTCTGTCTCACCACTTCCTGTTTGCTGTAGCGAGGTGCAGCAGGGAGGTGTTCTTGGCCCTCGTGGATTCTCCGTGTTCTCTTTTCTCTCAGATTGTTTCGCGCTGCTGCAGGTAAGTCAGGTTAAAGGTCACTGCTGAGATATATGGTTGTTTCAATATACTACATCATCATCCAATATGAACAACATCCAAATGATGTTGTTCATATTGGATGATGATGCAGAGGAAGATGCCTCATCATCTTCCTCTGCATCATCTCTCTACCATACGTTGTTTATTAGTGTTTGTTAGCATTTTGACCGTCATTGTGAGTTTTTATAAACAGTTTTATTATAATTTCCTTGTTGTATTTTGGCTAGTCCAACTCAGTTTGAATTTTATTTTTATTTTCACATTTAGGGCTGGAGTTCAGGAAGAGGAAGTTGATTTGTTTTTGCTCTGTATTGTGTTGTTGTGGCCACCAGGTGGCGTTTTTCTCATCTTGTTTTAGTTTATGATTTTTGTGAGGAGAATTTTTTTTTTGTTGTTGACTTTGGTTGAATTTGTAAAAGAAATGTTGGTAGAAATGTTGATCTGCGCTGCTGTGGTTCAGGGAGTTCAGGGAGTTCAGGGAGTTTAGGGAGTTTAGGGAGTTTAGGGAGTTTAGGGAGTTTAGGGAGTTCAGGGAGTTCAGGGAGTTTAGGGAGTTTAGGGAGTTTAGGGAGTTCAGGGAGTTTAGGGAGTTCAGGGAGTTCAGGGTTTAGGGAGTTGATTTGTTTTTATTTTCCAGAATAAAAAGTTGAACCAACCCTTCCGGTGTGGTTCCGATCCGTTATTCTGTGGTTCTGTTGGGTCTCGGTCTGTTCAGGTCTTTGGACCTGAACAGACAGTCATGAACAAAATTTGTAAATTTGATTTGTTTCCTACTTAAACTTTGAATTCAGGAAGTTTGATGCTTTTTTTGATGTTTGGAGAAAATGTTCATTTCTCAAAGTTTAATCTTTTTGAGATTAAACTCAAGGATTAATCTACAGGATTATTAGATTATTGATGAACTGGAATCATGATCAGCTGATGATTCTTTATTTTCTTCTTGAACAAACTGCATCATGTTTTCATTTCCTGGAATCAAACTCTGGTTTCTGACGTTAAAGCCAGAGACATCAGCTTCCTGCTGCTTCCTGTCAGTACTTTCAAAAATAAAATAAATGTTATAATGTGGTTTATTTTAGATGATCAAATAGTCTATATGTGATAAACTATTTAACAATCAGATCAGTGAATGTAAATGTAGCTCCGTGTCTCCCTCTAGTGGCCTGACAGTAGAAGTGCAGCAGCTGATGCAGCTTCCTCTGCCTCTCTGCTGTCTGACTGCATTCAACTGACATGAAGCAGAGAGAAGAGCCAATCAGAGCAGCAGCTGATCTTTTTCCAGCTCTAATGATGTAAAGACGGTCAGAGCTGATGAATGATGTGTTTCCTCTGCAGGTGAGGGTAGAAAGAGCTGCAGTGGATTCAGCAGCATGGATCAGTGTGAGGACAGAGAGGAGGGAGACCCTTCCTCTAAAACCTCTCTGTGTGGGGAAGATGAGAGCCAGAGCAAAGGTCAGAGGTGAGTCACCATCTCTCAGTGTCCTTTTCACACAGCGTTCAAACTGCATCAGGCCCAAACGGTGATGAAGCTGCTGCTCCTCTTTGCTGCTTCATCCAGCCTGAACAGAGCAGCTCAGCCTGGTATCAGTGTTTCTTCCAGCCAGCAGGTCCATGTTGCAGAAGCAGCAGAGTGACAGCAGCCTGTGGTTAGAGCTGTGGGTTCCAGCAGGACCCACAGGACAAAATCACCAACTTCAGCCCGGTTCCGGTCCAGATGGGTCCAGGATGGAAATGTTGGCTGGTGTCTAAACAGAACCTGACAGAATGGGTTTTAATCATCATGTTTCTGTCAGGATCCTTCAGAGACTCGAACCAGAACAAGAACCAGGACCAGAACCAGGACCAGAGTCCAGCTGTGTGTCCTTTAAGAGCAACTGGTCAAAGGATATCTTCATTGACTTTAAATCTGCTGATCTTCCACCATCAGAGAGGTGAGATGTTTCTACCTGCTGTAACCCTGGAGGCGGAGTCAGTCTGAAGTGTTTTTATTCCAACATGTTTTGTCTACTGGGAGATTCTGGTGTTACTGGTTTTTACTTCGTCGTCTTTTCAACTTTTGGCATTGTGTTCAAGCACTGATCTGTTTCATGTTTAAATGATGTTCACTGTGAAGCTCTTGGTGATTTGATCAATAAAAACTGCTGTATCAATATTTCCTGATTGTTCCAGGTCCAGATTGGACCGGGACCAGCAGAACTCAGAGGCTCCCAGTGGTCCGTCTGCCCAGCAGCATCAAACTCAGCTGGACTTCATATTTATGGTCTGTACATGTCACATTTCAGCAGCAAAGCATTTCAAAGAGCTTTGCATCATAAACACAAAAACTCAGAGTTATGCAACATAGAATCAACAATCAAATCATGAAGTCAAGAGTTATCGTTAAATTCATCATTGATTATGTTTCAAATGAAACTAACCAGCTGGATTTTAGTCTGGATTCTAAGGATCTCAGGGTTTCGGCTGTTTTACAGTTTTCTGGAAGTTTGTTCCAGATTTGTGGTGCTGAAGCTGAACGCTGCTTCTCCTCATTTGGTTCTGGTTCTGATGCAGAGCAGAACCAGAACCTGAGGGGTCTGATTTATAAACTAACATCATATTTAAAGTCTCCACCAGCAGCAGCAGCAGCTTCTGGATCAGCTGCAGCAGGAATCGATGCCACTGAAGATAAACGATGAGTTTCTCTAGATCTCACTGAGACATCAGACCTCTAGATGTTCTTCAGGTGATAGAAGGCCGACTTTATGACTGTCTTTATGTGGCTCTGAAGGTTCAGGTCAGAGGTCAGAGGTCATCACTACTCCCAGGTTTTTCAGACTGTAGCATTGCAGCCCGACGTCACAACATTTAGCGAGACAATATTGTAACATAACCACTATGTTTGTTTTTCTCAGTGACTATATTAAATGTTAAAAATTCCAAGCTGTCTAGTGGAACAGTTGGGGAGTTCATTATTAAAAGAAAAAATGTTGAAGTTCCACTGTTAAAAACCTGATGTTGGGTAAATCATGTTTGGGGCCAGGTGTGTGGGAATTAGTGATAAAAAGGGGGCGTGTGCGCCAGTAGACGCGGCGCAATCAGTAAGAAAGACGTTCATGTGTCGATCTGTGCAGCGGGAGTTCTGGCCTTATTTACTGTTTAAACCAAAGAAAAGTAACAAAAAAGATAAAACATCGATTAAGGTTCGTCCCAGCGCCGCAGATCGCGCCCGAAAGCCTGGACCGGAGCCTGGACCGGAGTTTGCACCTAGGAAACGCTGCCCGGTGCAGAAGGAGTGCCTGGAGGAAGCCACCGGGGGAAAGGGGACGCTCCCAGTGAGATCTGGACTTTATTATCTTTTGGGGGGGTTTGGGTGGTACCACTCTTCTTTTTTCTCATCTTTTTGGGTTTTTTTTGACGTTTTGGATTTTTTTCTTTCGGGATTGAAGACGGGGATTAATACGGAGCGACGCTTCCAGGACGTTGATTGATTTGGAGTTATGGGACTCTTTTATGGACAAAAATGTAAAAAAGGAACAGGACTATTGGGACTTTCTATTTTTTAAGTGTGGTTGAGGGATCAGCCCGAACAGGGCGAATCAGACCCTTGATTATTTTGGTGGGTTTTGGAGTAATGATTTAGGTTTATTAACTATTCAAATTTTGGGTTTCTGAATAAATTATTTCTGGTGCAAACCTATTAATTTCATACTGAGTGATTGAACATTTGTTTTTTATCAAATTAACCCGGTAACACTAATACCCTATTTACCTGGAGCAAGATCCCCCTTGTGTGTTTTTTTGTGAGTTCTGCTTTAATCAAGCCGAATATTACAATATCAAACATTGACAAGTTTTAATTATTGTTATCAAACCTTATCAAACAGCGTTTAGAAGCCAAAATACCTCAGAAATATACAGAGCCACCATGAGAATCAACTCATTTAAAGTTAAAGCTGTTGAACTGGATCGGTCCACGTTGCTACCAAGCTAATTTTCTATTAACAGCTTTATAATCTTTTACATTACATTACCAAACCCTTAGTTTGCTTATGGTTTGGGTCGGCCCTGCATCGGGACAGGTGATGTCCTGTTCTGCATTGCCGGGGGCCAGACACATTCTGGAGGAAGACGTGTAAAGATAATATCTGGTCCCCGGCCTCAGACCTCAGAAACACAGAGTGATGGATCCTCTGAAATAAAGTGAGGTCTGCTACTGAACGCTAAGGAGAAACATGCCGAGGCGAACCTGTTGATTCAGTCCATCTGTAACTCTGAGGAACTCTAGTCCAGAAGACGTTTCTTCATAAGTATCTTGTGAATCCTGTGAATGAGTTGGAGGATCAGAGAGGGAGGAAGGGAACCAGTCGTTCCATCGCCAGTCGATGTTATATCAGCTTGTTTTGTAATATTTTGATCCTGATCTGCAGACATCTTGAGCCTGTTCTTCTGAAGTGATGATCACATTGTTGTCCTTGTTGATAAAATGAAAAAGGTTTTCAGTGAGTAGCTTTATCCCATGTTTATTAAGATTGCCTCTTCCAAAAAGGTGAAAGCTCTGCCAGTAGATAATTCACTGAGTTGGCAGAGCATCTACAAAACCTGTGACTTTATAAATACCTAACAGACAAAGTTATCAGTAGAGATGAGAAAGCAGGATAAACTATTAGGTGTTCAATCCCTTAAGAGCTAAAATCTCCACGGGTTCTGGTCACAGTCGTCTCCTTCCTGCGTTTTATAGTCTAGTGATCTGTCTGTCTGTCTGTCCAACATGGATCTGATGTTTGGCTCCATGATTTCAGTCTGATGTGTCCTTCATATATTATTCTGTTCCAGCTGCTGGAGAACAACATTGTCACATTTCTGAAGAAAGAGCTGAAGAAGATCCAGAAGGTTCTGAGTCCAGATGACCCAGAATGTGCAGAGAGTCAGAGAGATGATGAGGAGGAGTTGGAAGGTGAGGATGAAGAGCAGAGGAGCAGCAGAGAGGCAGTGATGAAGATCATATTGAACTTCCTGAGGAGGATGAAGCAGGAGGAGCTGGCTGACCGTCTGCAGACCAGTAAGAGGATTTCTACAAAGATTTATCCTGATGGATAAATCACACATTAACTGAAGTTTATGAATCACAATCAATCTGCAGAAGGTGATTTTCTTTCCTTCCTGATTTTACTTTTTGTGTTCATTTAGAACAGTTTCCTGCAGTTGGTCAACATGAACTTAAATCTGGTCTGAAGAAGAAGTTCCAGTGTGTGTTTGAGGGAATCAGTAAAGCAGGAAGTCCAACCCTTCTGAACCAGATCTACACAGAGCTCTACATCACAGAGGGAGGGACTGGAGAGGTCAATGATGAACATGAGGTCAGACAGATTGAAACAGCATCCAGGAAACAACACAGACCAGAAACAACAATCAGACAAGAAGACATCTTTAAAGTCCCACCTGGAAGAGATCAACCAATCAGAACAGTGATGACAAAGGGAGTGGCTGGCATTGGGAAAACAGTCTTAACACAGAAGTTCACTCTGGACTGGGCTGAAGACAAAGCCCACCAGAACATCCAGTTCATATTTCCATTCACATTCAGAGAGCTGAATCTGCTGAAAGAGAAAAAGTTCAGCTTGGTGGAACTGATTCATCACTTCTTTAATGAAACCAAAGAAATCTGCAGCTTTGAACACTTCCAGGTTCTGTTCATCTTTGATGGCTTGGATGAGAGTCGACTTCCACTGGACTTCCACAACAAGGAGATCCTGACTGATGCTACAGAGTCCAGCTCAGTGGATGTTCTGCTGACAAACCTCATCAGGGGGAAACTGCTTCCCTCTGCTCTCCTCTGGATAACCACACGACCTGCAGCAGCCAATCAGATCCCTGCTCAGTGTGTTGGCATGGTGACAGAGGTCAGAGGGTTCAATGACCCCCAGAAGGAGGAGTACTTCAGGAAGAGATTCAGAGAGAAGAAAGAGGCCAGCAGGATCATCTCCCACATGAAGACATCAGGAAGCCTCCACATCATGTGCCACATCCCAGTCTTCTGCTGGATCACTGCTACAGTTCTGGAGGATGTGATGGAGGCCAGAGAGGGAGGAGAGCTGCCCAGAACCCTGACTGAGATGTACATCCACTTCCTGGTGGTTCAGACCAAAGTGAAGACAGTCAAGTATGATGGAGGAGCTGAAACTGATCCTCACTGGAGTCCAGAGAGCAGGAAGATGATTGAGTCTCTGGGAAAACTGGCTTTTGATCAGCTGCAGAAAGGAAACCTGATCTTCTATGAATCAGACCTGACAGAGTGTGGCATCGATATCAGAGCAGCCTCAGTGTACTCAGGAGTGTTCACACAGATCTTTAGAGAGGAGAGAGGTCTGTACCAGGACAAGGTGTTCTGCTTCATCCATCTGAGTGTTCAGGAGTTTCTGGCTGCTCTTCATGTTCACCTGACCTTCATTAAGTCTGGGGTCAACCTGATGGAACAAAAAAAAGCATCTAAATTCCTAGAAGAGCTGGATTCCTCAGAAGAAGAGCTGAATTCCTCAGAAGAAGAGCTGGATTCCTCAGAAGAAGAGCTGGGGATTCCAACTGAGATACATAGTCCCTTCAGCAGGTCCTGGGTAAGAGCCAACCGGTGGGACGTGCCTGGAACATCGTCTAACGTGTTTTCTTCATTTGAAAAAGAAGAGTCTTTTGAACCAAAATCTCTCCATCAGACAGCTGTTGATCAGGCCTTACAGAGTCCAAATGGACACCTGGATTTGTTCCTCCGTTTCCTCCTGGGACTCTCACTGCAGACCAATCAGAGACTTCTTCAAGGTCTGATGACACAGACAGGAAGTAGCTCTCAGACTAATCATGAAACAGTTCAGTATATCAAGAAAAAGATCAGTGAAAATGTTTCTTCAGAGAAAAGCATCAATCTGTTCCACTGTCTGAATGAACTGAATGATCGTTCTCTAGTGGAGGAGATCCAACAGTCTCTGAGTTCAGGAAGTCTCTCCACAGACAAACTGTCTCCTGCTCAGTGGTCAGCTCTGGGGTTCATCTTGGTGTCATCAGGAGAAGATCTGGATGAGTTTGATCTGAAGAAATACTCTGCTTCAGAGGAACCACTTCTGGGGCTGATGCCAGTGGTTAAAGCCTCCAACAAAGCTCTGTAAGGACACATTATTACTGAATTTATTGTTGAACAAGAGAAATCTAATTAGCATGAGCTAAATATTGAGTCATGTTGTTTAAGGTTTTCTTTTATAACGTATCAGTTCACATGAAAAGTAAACGTAAATATGTTTGCAATAAGACAGTCCCATGTTGACTGGAAGGAGAGAAACAATTTTTGATGAATTGTTCAACATCAACTTTTCCTGTCTCCTCAGACTGAGTGGCTGTCGTATCACAGGGAGAAGCTGTGCAGCTCTGTCCTCAGTTCTCCGCTCCCAGTCCTCCAGTCTCACAGAACTGGACCTGAGTAACAATGACCTGCAGGATTCAGGACTGGAGCGTCTCTCTGCTGGACTGAAGAGTCCAAACTGCAACCTGGAAACTCTGAGGTAAAACGTTCTCAATGCTGGAGGAACCAGTTTTCTGATCAACTTAGACCAATCTGGTTCTGATTGGCTGACCAAATGACTCAGTACAATGTGCATGTTGAAGAAATCACAGAGGCATGATGGGACTTTTATCACTTTAAAAGTAAACAATAAAATCTTGAAATGAATCCTAAAACCAACAGGAAGCCAGAACTGGAGATAGATTTTTTTGTTTCTATTACCTGTTAAAAGTCCAGGTGCTGCATTTTGGCAACACAGAGATGATTGATTTAATGCAGCATACAAGGCATTACAGTAATCCTACCAAGAGGTAATAACAGCACTAATCACTTTTCAACACATTTATTGTGAGATATAACTTCACCTTGGTCATTAGTGTTGGAAGAAACTGGATTTCACAGCAGCTTTTATCTGTTTGGCTAATTTGTTGCATGATAGATGATTGTTAGGGTTAAACACCTGTTGAACATACTTTAACAAAGACAGAAAAGACATAAGAGTCAGTATTCTTGCTACTCGCGAGGAGAACAGACAGAGATGTGCTCCAGTTACAATCTCCTACCGCTCTGAAACACATTTGACTGCTCCTCTCATTTTATTATTTTCAGGATCCCTAATCACAAGGACACTGTAGTTTTAATGAGAGGGGAAAACAATTCATCATACAGCTACAGTGCCAGTTCTTATTTCCTAACTAAGTGTTAGGGATCTGTGTTTCTTTTATCTTTGAAGCAACGAGTCTGTCACCTCGGATGACCAGGGCAACATCCAGCCTGATAGGAAGAATGGGTCGTTTACATACAACCCAAAGTCTGAGGAACTGACTTTATGACCCCAGAGACAACAAACAACTGTAACCTCAGGAGATGCAAAGACAGTACTTTGAGAATGTGTATTGTGATTGCCTCTTCTTCAATGCAACACAATTATCTTGTATGTGATAATCTCGTTCCGGACACATCAAACAGAATAGGTAGTAAATCTCCACAGTGACAGTTTTACAGCATTCCAGCAACTCAACAATATAGAAACATTCTTAATCCTATAATGAGATTAACTAAAAGGAAAGCATAAAATAAAGATACATTATAAAGATCAATGAGAATAACAAATATTTGATTAATTATATCACAATTTCTCCAACAATGATGAAGTGATTCACAGCAGTTTTTTCTCTGTCTCCTCAGACTGAGTGGCTGTAACCTCTCAGAGACAAGCTGTGCAGCTCTGTCCTCAGTTCTCCGCTCCCAGTCCTCCAGACTCACAGAACTGGACCTGAGTAACAACAACCTGCAGGATTCAGGACTGAAGCGTCTCTCTGCTGGACTGAAGAGTCCAAACTGCAAACTGGAAACTCTGAGGTAAAACGTTCTCAGTGCTGGAGGAACCAGTTTTCTGTCCATCAGCTGCTATCAGACATGATGTTGATGTCATTTCAATAACAGTTTAGTCAACTTCTTTTGTCTGAAGCTTATTTAGAACCAACTATCTATTTTGTATCTTTATTTCATTTATATGATAAATGTTTTTAAGTTGCTCATAAAAATGTCAGGCATTTACCAAAGTAACTTATAGTTCTATAAAGTAAAACAAACAAAAGCAAAATCACATAAAAATGTTTTAAAAACAAGGTTAAACAGAATAGAAACATACACTGTCATAATAGAAGAATATCAAACTCTGCTTGAATCAAATGCTAAAGAATAATGATGCTATAGGTGCAGGAACTGCATGTTTCCCCACTGACAACGTTTCCACTAAATCTCTATGACTGCAGCATTTAATAGCAAACAGTCATCAAATCAGCCAGACAGCAGCGGATGGTAGACCCAGAAACATTGTCCTCCAGGAAACGGATGTTTACTGTTGACTTCAGGACAAATTGTGACAAACCCACTGAATGATTGACAGGAGCCATCATAACTATTGAACAAGTGGCTCCTGATATTCAAAGTGTGTAACAGAGGAAACAAACACCCCATGACCTCCACCTCAATAATCAACCTGCTGCTGCTGGTGACGGATGTTGGGCAAAGATTTTAATGTCCCAATCATTGTAAATGAAAATGTAAATTAGTCCAAAGTTTAGGGGAACAAATTGCAAAAAACGTGATCACCTCTGAGTTTCATTTGGGATCCAGGATCATCTTAGACAATCTGGTTCTGATTGGCTGACCAAATGACTCAGTACAATGTGTATGTTGAAGAAATCACAGAGGCATGATGGGACTTTTATCACTTTAAAAGTAAACAATAAAATCTTGAAATGAATCCTAAAACCAACAGGAAGCCAGAACTGGAGATAGATTTTTATGTTTCTATTACCTGTTAAAAGTCCAGGTGCTGCATTTTGCCAACACAGAGATGATTGATTTAATGCAGCATACAAGGCATTACAGTAATCCTACCAAGAGGTAATAACAGCACTAATCACTTTTCAACACATTTATTGTGAGATATAACTTCACCTTGGTCATTAGTGTTGGAAGAAACTGGATTTCACAGCAGCTTTTATCTGTTTGGCTAATTTGTTGCATGATAGATGATTGTTAGGGTTAAACACCTGTTGAACATACTTTAACAAAGACAGAAAAGACATAAGAGTCAGTATTCTTGCTACTCGCGAGGAGAACAGACAGAGATGTGCTCCAGTTACAATCTCCTACCGCTCTGAAACACATTTGACTGCTCCTCTCATTTTATTATTTTCAGGATCCCTAATCACAAGGACACTGTAGTTTTAATGAGAGGGGAAAACAATTCATCATACAGCTACAGTGCCAGTTCTTATTTCCTAACTAAGTGTTAGGGATCTGTGTTTCTTTTATCTTTGAAGCAACGAGTCTGTCACCTCGGATGACCAGGGCAACATCCAGCCTGATAGGAAGAATGGGTCGTTTACATACAACCCAAAGTCTGAGGAACTGAACTTTATGACCCCAGAGACAACAAACAACTGTAACCTCAGGAGATGCAAAGACAGTACTTTGAGAATGTGTATTGTGATTGCCTCTTCTTCAATGCAACACAATTATCTTGTATGTGATAATCTCGTTCCGGACACATCAAACAGAATAGGTAGTAAATCTCCACAGTGACAGTTTTACAGCATTCCAGCAACTCAACAATATAGAAACATTCTTAATCCTATAATGAGATTAACTAAAAGGAAAGCATAAAATAAAGATACATTATAAAGATCAATGAGAATAACAAATATTTGATTAATTATATCACAATTTCTCCAACAATGATGAAGTGATTCACAGCAGTTTTTTCTCTCTGTCTCCTCAGACTGAGTGGCTGTAACCTCTCAGAGACAAGCTGTGCAGCTCTGTCCTCAGTTCTCCGCTCCCAGTCCTCCAGACTCACAGAACTGGACCTGAGTAACAACAACCTGCAGGATTCAGGACTGAAGCGTCTCTCTGCTGGACTGAAGAGTCCAAACTGCAAACTGGAAACTCTGAGGTAAAACGTTCTCAGTGCTGGAGGAACCAGTTTTCTGTCCATCAGCTGCTATCAGACATGATGTTGATGTCATTTCAATAACAGTTTAGTCAACTTCTTTTGTCTGAAGCTTATTTAGAACCAACTATCTATTTTGTATCTTTATTTCATTTATATGATAAATGTTTTTAAGTTGCTCATAAAAATGTCAGGCATTTACCAAAGTAACTTATAGTTCTATAAAGTAAAACAAACAAAAGCAAAATCACATAAAAATGTTTTAAAAACAAGGTTAAACAGAATAGAAACATACACTGTCATAATAGAAGAATATCAAACTCTGCTTGAATCAAATGCTAAAGAATAATGATGCTATAGGTGCAGGAACTGCATGTTTCCCCACTGACAACGTTTCCACTAAATCTCTATGACTGCAGCATTTAATAGCAAACAGTCATCAAATCAGCCAGACAGCAGCGGATGGTAGACCCAGAAACATTGTCCTCCAGGAAACGGATGTTTACTGTTGACTTCAGGACAAATTGTGACAAACCCACTGAATGATTGACAGGAGCCATCATAACTATTGAACAAGTGGCTCCTGATATTCAAAGTGTGTAACAGAGGAAACAAACACCCCATGACCTCCACCTCAATAATCAACCTGCTGCTGCTGGTGACGGATGTTGGGCAAAGATTTTAATGTCCCAATCATTGTAAATGAAAATGTAAATTAGTCCAAAGTTTAGGGAACAAATTGCAAAAAACGTGATCACCTCTGAGTTTCATTTGGGATCCAGGATCATCTTAGACAATCTGGTTCTGATTGGCTGACCAAATGACTCAGTACAATGTGTATGTTGAAGAAATCACAGAGGCATGATGGGACTTTTATCACTTTAAAAGTAAACAATAAAATCTTGAAATGAATCCTAAAACCAACAGGAAGCCAGAACTGGAGATAGATTTTTATGTTTCTATTACCTGTTAAAAGTCCAGGTGCTGCATTTTGCCAACACAGAGATGATTGATTTAATGCAGCATACAAGGCATTACAGTAATCCTACCAAGAGGTAATAACAGCACTAATCACTTTTCAACACATTTATTGTGAGATATAACTTCACCTTGGTCATTAGTGTTGGAAGAAACTGGATTTCACAGCAGCTTTTATCTGTTTGGCTAATTTGTTGCATGATAGATGATGAATTGATTCACAGCAGTTTTTTCTCTCTGTCTCCTCAGACTGAGTGGCTGTGACCTCTCAAAGAGAAGCTGTGCAGCTCTGTCCTCAGTTCTCAGCTCCCAGTCCTCCAGACTCACAGAACTGGACCTGAGTAACAACAACCTGCAGGATTCAGGACTGAAGCGTCTCTCTGCTGGACTGAAGAGTCCAAACTGCAAACTGGAAACTCTGAG